CGGCGGGCGGCGACGTGGCCAGCGACAGCTACAACAACCTCTTCCGCGACGTCGAGGGGCTGCGGCGCCTGGGGGTCTCCCACTACCGCTTCTCACTGGCCTGGGCCCGGCTGCTGCCCAACGGCACGGCGCCCCTCACCCCCGCCGGGCTGGCCCACTACCACCGGCTGCTGGGCCGCCTGCGGGAACTGGGCATCGAGCCCGTCGTCACCCTCTACCACTGGGACCTGCCGCAGGGCCTGCAGGACGCCTTCGGCGGCTGGGCCAGCCCCGTCCTGCCCCAGCTCTTCCGCGACTACGCCGAGCTCTGCTTCCGGCATTTCGGCGGGCAGGTGCGCTACTGGCTGACCATGGACAATCCCTACGTGGTGGCCTGGCACGGCTATGGCACGGGGCGGCTGCCACCCGGCGTGCGGGGCGGCCCACGCCTCGGCCACCCGGGGGGCCACCCCATGCTCCAGGTAAATGGCGGGTGGTGGGAAGGGGCCCTGGTGGCTCCTCAGCCCCTGCGTTGTGCCAAGGGGAAGGGTGCGGAGGCTGCCCTCAGCCCACCACGTTGGTGGACCTGTTGCCTGGTCGGCCGCTGGAGTGGAAACTGAATCAACGTGCCCGATGGAGTGTGGGCAGTCGATTTATGGGTTTAAGCCGGCGAGGCTTATAGGTGGGCGGCAGGAACTTTGCGGTCATTTTGAGTTAGGGAAAACACACCGAATTAAAGCGTTTTCTGTATTCTGCAGAAATGTTCAGTCCTGCCGCCAGCACTTGTGAATTCACGTCTGGGTGGGTGAGTGGATGCATTCAGCTGTGCCAGTCCAGCACTGGCTTACTAAGGTTACTGTGGAAATGCTCAATATGGCTGTAAAAAGAGTTAACGCATTTGATAAAAAAATCTTACTGAGTTAGTGAAGATGGTAGTGGTGGCCAAAATGTCATACTGAGAGATTTTCTTGATAGAGTATGTTTTTTTTTGGAGTGTGAACACTTTTTGGGAAAAAAGACCCTCTGTTCCCCAGCATGTCTAGTAAGCGACATAAGTACTTTGCTATCCGTAATTTTTATGCAGTGTATCTATATATGGTGTAATTGTAATGTTTGCTGGAAGCAAACATTGTGGATTCTCAGGGAGAATTAGGCAAAAGTGTGTACAAATCATTTCAGTGACAGGGGAAAGGATTCAGCCTGACTGGAATGGTGCGGCTGTTAAGGCATGATCTATTGTACCTTAATACACGTTCACAAACTCTGCTAATGTCCATCCGCTCAGCGTACACTTGGCGGCAGGAGTTATATCCTAATGAGTATCATATATGAGATGTGAACACTGAGAAAACATCCGATGCATGCTTTAGTCAACTTTTTGCCACTTTCCTGCGTTACTTTTGCATTGTTTAGTGCTACAAATAAGTCAAGAGAAAATATAGGTGGGGAAAATGTGGGTAAAATTTCAGATTAAATTCCTGGTCCTGAAACCTTTGAACTGTTCATTTAGTACCTTGGGGCGTACTTGACCATGTTTCACACTGTGGTTGTACAGTTCACTGAACTAAGTGAGTCCGTTCATGAGTAAAGTTACTCCTAAACTTCAGCACTTGCAGGATTAGCCCCAAATTTTGCAGCGAGACTTCATCACCTATCAATGATTGTGACGCTTTTCATACAGTCACTGAAGAGTTGGTGATGAGTTGTTTGCTATACTTCGCATAGTTATTCTGAAGGCAGTGGGGCTGTGCACAAGGGGATGGGCTGCCGCCTTCGTGCCAGGGGCACGGAACGTAGAGAGCAGAAGCCATAGTTATTCTGAGGGCAGTGGGGCTGTGCACAAGGGGATGGGCTGCCGCCTTCGTGCCAGGGGCACGGAACGTAGGGAGCAGAAGGTCCATTTCTCTATCTTCCTACAGATAACATGCAAAAGAAGTCATTAAAGCTGCAAATTTGAGTGCTCAGGTTGTCAGACCGTGGAATCCTTCAACTCCAAGGGTCATAGGCTCACTGAGGTGGAGTTTTAATGTTGTCTGTCACTTTATTTTTTTTCTAAGGCCCCTCCTTTGCTGTGCAAAATGGGCAGTTAATGAGTCAGTTCATGTTCTGTGTGGTTCTCCCCGCCGCCCTTTGTTGAATTTGTTGCTTCAGACCTGAATTAATACAGGGCTCTGAGAACAGACAGTAAAGATGTTTGTCTTTTGTCCCTGGCTTTTACATAGTGCTGTCTGTCTTGAGTATTTATATCCCACATCACCATAGTATCCGAGTCCCTCATAATCTCAACTATATACTTGTTCTCATAAAAGCCTTTTGGATAAGGAAGGTGCTTTTCTATTTAACAAATGAGAAACCGAGGCATAGACTTGCCTATGCCATGTAAAAAGTATAATTAAACCAGGAAAGTCTACCAATACTTGGTTTAGTGACAGAACCTCAGGATTAGCTTTGTTCTAGTGACTGTCATTCAGAGTTTTCACAGTTCGTGGACATTTCTTTTTACACAACAGTGTAAGGCAGCAAGGTTTCATTTTTTCCACATTTCATGAATGAGGAACTGAAACACAGATGCAATTAAGACCCAAAGTGTCCACTGATTGTTGGTAGCCTTTTCCTGGCATGTGATCTTTTCAGAATATTGGTCAGTTATATTATACTTTCAGCTCTTCTACAAGTCAGATCCCAAAATATCAAATCACCTACAGAGAAAATAAGGGACGTGCAGTTTATGCAGGAGAGCTACCATCCCTGACTCCTCCAGGTAGAAGTCTTTAGTAGAGGCAGAGAGAGAGCCTGACTCTTCAGGACAGAGAAGTGAACAGCTTTAACACTGAGATCCTCCTTTTCCTTCCTACATCTCCGTAGCTTATTGATATTAGACCTTTCAACTTGTGTAAGCAATGAAGTAGGAAGCTACAGAGTACGGCTTCTTTGACTACACAGCCTGATATCCATAGAGAAAGTGTATGTAATCGTGTAATGAAAGATTAAGTTATATCGCATATGGTAAGGAGTGAATTACATTTCCATGTGCAAATTAAATTCTTCTCTTACATAATTCTTGAGTGATTGACTTTGCAACTTGAGTAATGTTTTTTAATGTGTGTCTGTGGGTTGCATATAATTTTGTAGGTGAGTTTGGTCAGGTGTCCTAGAAGCACATGCAGCCTTGATTTGGATCAGAAGGTTGTACGGTAGTACTGCTTCACCACATATCCTGGAGGATGTGTGCAGCACCAGACAGTGCTGCCGGGAGATACAGTCCTCACAGCCCCACCAGAAAAGATGTGGTTGTGTCGTCCCACACAAAACCCCCCTTTCAGCTGCCTAACGTTTTGCTGCTTATGTCTTACATCATTACCCAAAAGGTCTGGTCCCAGGTTTCTTCCTAATCCTTTTTCCTTCTCTGTGGCATTTGTGTCGCTTTTTTTTTTCCAGAGAAATTGAGCTTGCAGAACATGTTTGTTTTTTAAAAGATAAAACGTGTTGTCATAGATGTTTGGTTCTTAGCAAATGAACAGACTAACTCTTAATATGCATGTTTTCTGACTTTTTTTTCCTTATTTACAATATGCAGTTTTAAGCATCTTCTTTCTGCATTTATTCAAACCAAAGACCCTCATAAGTGGAAAGCTTAATAGCTAGTGAAAGCTGATGTCTACTAATTTATTTTACTGGATGTTAATTACATTCCAAGATGAAATAATTTCCTTTAAGTTCTTTAAAATTCAACAGATATGAGTGTGGATTTTGGGCTCTGTCTTTCTGAGTGAGTTATCTATTATCTGAATAAATAATCAAATAAGAGTTTGATTCAATTCAGGTTGTTCAATTCAGGGCTGGTGAAAACAGGGTAATGACATTTGATCTGAATAATGATGTTTAAATTTAGCTTGAATAGATTTCATCCTATTGTACTGAATTTTTTAATTACCTTTCATTTTTCTGAACTTCCACAACTGAGTCATAACAGATGCTAAATGGACAGAGTAAGAGACACTTTTTATAAAGAGCAAAGAAAAATAATGTAAAAAAAACTTGTAAGAAAAAACATTTTATGGATGCATCCTTGGTTCGTTATTGAGGGATGTTGATCAGTATTCAGTGAAAACTTCACCCTTTTATAGTATTTCCACCGACAGTTGTTGCTTTTGACATGTCTAAGGCCTTCAAACCTGGTAAGAAATGGAGGAAGCTGTACGCGTTTATTCACAAATTAAATTGAATGGATCAAGTACAGTTCATAGAAGTTGGCATTCTCTCAAGTCAACAGCCAGAAAATGTAATCCCAGCAATCTGTCATGTATATGATGCATCTCTTTCTCCAGATAGGAGTTGAGAGGGGTCATTGTATTATGTTCTGGTTTTTGCAAATGCATTTTTTCATTACTGGTTCACAGTATATTGTCTGAGTTAAACATACTTGGATTTACTCAATATAAACAGCATTTGCAGAAACAGAAGAACACGTTGTTTCCCTGAAGAAGTGAGTGAATTGCTGCCTGGAAACCAGTCACATAGCAACAGACTGATTTCTATTCCAAAACTCTTTCCAAAACAAAAGGTAAGTACTCTTTTGTTGACCTTCAGTGCTAAACCTAATAAAGTATCAGTAATTGCAGCATAAGAGAATGGTCTTTTCTCGGTGCATATTGTTTCTTTCAAAATTGGGACAGCCTTCAAACTTTCACTCCGTGCAAATGGAGTGATTCTGGATTTTCCTGAAAGTAACACGGCTCATCGTAGTTGTGAAGACCTACAGAATTTTTAGAAAAAAGAAGGAATAATTCTAAGTAATAGTATTCTTTTTTTCCTATTCTTGCTTTCTTAAGACTTAATTCAAAGAACAACAAAGAAGAAATTGGTTCTGTTTCTGGTTTTGAGTATCCGTTGGGTAGGATATATTTGCAAAGAATTGATTGCAGTAGTGATTATTCTAATCACTAATCATTTGAATCAGGTATTTTTCAAATGTCAGAGATGACAAACAAGTGCAGTCAAACCATAGAGCAAGTTCAGATCTGATGCTGCAGTTTTCCATGCCAGTAGCTACAGACAGTTATACTATGTTCATAAATTATATTAAAATCTATAGCGTACCTTTCTCAAGCTTTAATCATCAAAAGAAAAAAATAAACTGAGTTTCATTTTAAGGTGATAACAACAAAGAAGAAATTGGTTCTGTTTCTGGTTTTGAGTATCCGTTGGGTAGGATATATTTGCAAAGAATTGATTGCAGTAGTGATTATTCTAATCACTAATCATTTGAATCAGGTATTTTTCAAATGTCAGAGATGACAAACAAGTGCAGTCAAACCATAGAGCAAGTTCAGATCTGATGCTGCAGTTTTCCATGCCAGTAGCTACAGACAGTTATACTATGTTCATAAATTATATTAAAATCTATAGCGTACCTTTCTCAAGCTTTAATCATCAAAAGAAAAAAATAAACTGAGTTTCATTTTAAAAGGTGATAAACAGA